TATTGGGCAGCAACATTCACACACATTCCTGACGACCCTGACACGCCCCCTGACATAGCGGGACACAGACACAACAGCAGCGGGTCAACTCGGGCAATCAGGGGAGTATAACAATACATACTACGAAACCCGATCCGTTTCGCAAGTTTTGTTTCTCTCCACTTCGCTTGGTGACGCGCGGCAGTTCATCACCAACATCCCTGGAAGAACGAAACACGCGCGACGGATACGCACCTCCCACATGATGCACTTTTTTATTGTTTGGAGACGGGCTGACATTTACCTGGAGAACGAAACACATTCCTTCAGCTTTTGAGACCTAAGGTATTTAAGTGAAGTGAAGTGAAGTGAAGTGAAGCTGCAAGGATGCACGTGGGGGTTGGAAACGTCTCGACCACACCGCTGCTGGGACAATACCAGCCACCCGTTTCATCATACATGACACAACGCCCGATATGGTGCGCAAATTTTGAGGGAGCCTAATTGGATGATAAATTGGCTTCAATGACAGCGGCAGCCGCCGTTCGTATCGCAATGATGCGCGGGAGCTGTCCGCTCGTGTCGCTCAGAACTTTTAGTTTTTTTTCTGTTTTCTATTCTGTCCATATTAGATCATGGTAAGGAAATAAAAAGCATGAGGGGTGATGCGATAAGTGCTTCACAGTCGCATGTGGTCGAATCGCTCGCTCTCTCTCGCTCCAATTGACAAACGTCCTCCTTCTACTTCGCCCACCCCCTCGCCCATTCCAGTTAGTTTTTCCCCTTCGCGGCTCCACGGGCAGCCCACGCAACTCCGAGGACAATTCTCCTCGTCCCGCACACCCGCTTACTGGGATATCTTCTTGCAAAACGGTAGCGCTGACCCAGAGCGAGGAGGTAAACAAAGGGGAAGAAGATCCTCTCGGGGAACAACGGCAACGTGCCGACGCACGCTTGTTGATCGCCGGGCTGGCGCTGTGTTGTGTTGACGCTGGTTGACGGTCCCCTAGCTCAGTCAGCCCGGTCTCGGGCGTCACCGCGGTCCTAACCTATCGCACGCCCCCCCCCCCCATACCACTTCGCCCCCCTCACACGTAAACGTATTTTGAATAAGTAGTTGTAGTATGGATAACCGTGACGATGACGAAGTCGGCCCGAAACATTAAAAAAAAAACTAATCGAAAAACCTCGTTAAGTTGCAAATAAAAAAAGTCAGTTTAACGTGAACGACGTGAACAGTTAATGCTTGCAGCAACTTAACTCCGTTAATGCGTTACTGAGGGGCATCTCCGCACTCCAAATCGCTCAGTATGAGTCTCTCTGGCGGTGAAGAATAACTAGCTACCTAACATGGTCGCGTGTTCACCGACCTAGTGGACCTCCTATGTAAGCGTCACACCACCGGATTGTTACGACACTAATTTAACGCGATATCCCTCACAGATTTGGAGTCAAGAAAGACGAATAAGAAGAAACGGAACAAAACAAATAAACACCGGCGGCCGTGCGGACAGACGGATGGATAGGCACGCTCCCGGCCCCCGCTGATGACCCCGAATGTGACGGCAGTCTGAGACAGATTGATTTCCGGTCCAACTGCCATGCCCCGCGCTACAATATCCGAAACCCGACAGCTTCCTCAGCCTGATGCAATTCTTCAGACAGTTCCACAGCGGTACACACAGGCTAGATGTTTTACCAGGAAGAAAGCACCATTTCGTAAGGTAACCGTTTTAATGCACAAAGTTAAAACAAATACGCAAAAGGGGATATAAATTTAAAAAAAAACAACTTCCGATCACGTGCTCCATGTAACTTCGCCTGAAATGATGTCATAGCAGCAAGCGATAAGAGAAACATTTTTTCTGCATCGTCTTTTTAACCGTGCCGATATCATAGGGCAAATACCACAGAAGTTGTGAAGAGCCAGTGGTAAGTGCTGGGCGCTCGAGTGTGCGTTACGTAAAAGATTCACTGGAAAAAACAAAGGAGCTATCTAATTCCTATTTTAGAGGCGTTAGTGAAATAGTGCCTTTACAAAGGTACTTATTAGCCCTCAAATTTGATGCGGTTTGGATGTGGCACGCGCCCGGTGCCAGCCGTGCGCCGATAGGTAGGCAACCCATTCGACTCCTTAAGGTGAAGTGAAGAGGGGGTAGGGTGAGTCCTGAGTCTCTCATCAACCACGTGCATTAGTGGCGAGCGATTTGGAGAGCAGAGGTGTGGTGTATAGGTCCTTCGATTCTCGTAATGAGAGAAAGAACGGAACGCGGGGTAATTTTTAGGAAATGTCTCTTTTTACCCATCGTTCGCCTCATGATTATGACTCTCTATAAATATTGTATAGGAATGGAAGGTTATCATTGTTTGGAAAGATGCCCTTGACGATTCCATTGTTTCTTGTGTCTTCCAAAACGAATTGACTGACAGCCGCATTTTGAGCCACATCTTGCGCTGCATATTTTTATCTGGCAACCAGCTATGTTGTTTTTGTTGCTGCTGTTTTTTTTTTGTGTGTGTGTTTTCAAACCCCTTTTTACTTGCTTTCTTTTACCGTATCAGCCGTCTTGCGCCATACTTGACACTAGACAAGGCGACAAGGCAGACTCGTGCACGTGATGCTGCTAATTAGGTAAATACTGAATGCTGAACATGAAGCACGACTTTCACACCTCCAATCAAAATGTCGAATCCGTCAGATAAAAGCCCGAGTTGTGCGTGATCATGGGTGGTGACGCGGCAAGCCTTGGTCCCTGACTCGACTCATGACTCTCCATAGGGGTCGTTCTCCCCATGTTGATAAGAGAGGAAGTGCACGGCAGGCTTAAAATAGTTATAGGCGCCAGCTAGGCGTTCGTTTGTTTTCATTTTCCCCCTCTCTTCGTGAGAACAGCAGGGAGTATTAGGCTGCTTAGTGTGCGTAAGGTCACCAAATAAAAGTTCCAAAAACAACGGATAGCTGCTGCGGAATCTGTTTGAGATTTGTTGACATGGGTCCGTTACGCCAGAACGCGTTAAATTCACTTTCCCAGCGATATCTTCTAAACGGTAAGAGTAATCTATCAATCTTGGGCTTGTTGGAAAGCTACGATGTAGCTGCACAAATTGCGTTGCTAAATTAAAATGTACCGCAACTGATTTTGTAACGAAAGATGTGACGCATTTAATTGCGGCACAAGGAGCAGTTTGACCACATTAGGTCATAGCAGGCCAGGGTTCGACCTGAAAGTACGTCCTTCCGTTTTTATCAGATTCCTTATTCGGTATGTAAATTACTGGAGCTCGGCGCCTGCGAGACCCTGGGTAGGCCTCCCGACAGTACACGTATGCACTGAAGACAAAGTGTTGCCTACCTCCCAGGCGCTATGAGAGATTGCACAAGCTGCACTTGGCAGTTTCGTAACTGCGAATGACGGGTATACTTTCCGAATGATCCCTACCGCCGTTGGAGCTACATTTGAGCTTTTCCCAAAGCCTAAGTCCGTTATGATTGTCCTCCCATTTCAAATATCTTATTGGAAAAGGAAATAAAGTACGTTTTGGCATAACCGACCCCGTTTTGTTGCCGTCACGTAAGAATCATGGTGAAAACAATGTCGTTGTCGTTGTCCTTCCATTTAAAATATATTTTAAATAAAAGGAAATAAAGTACGTTTCGTCAAAACCAACCCCGTTCTTTTTTCTTCTTTTTTTGCTTTCACGGAAGATAATTATTCTGAAAACAAGGTCTGATTTTTTGAGGAAAAGGGAAAACTTTGAGGAACCTCCTTGGTTTGAGGAAAACTCGTCAGATTATGAGAAAGTCGTCTCCAAAAAGGTGGAATTTTTGATAAGATTCCTCAAAATCTGAGGCGAGATCCTAAGAGTTTTCCTCAAATATGGGAGTTCCTCAAAGTTTTCCCTTCCCTTTTCCTCAAAAAAATAAATAAATCAGAAATTGTTTTTGCCTCGGTTTTTACCGTGTGTGCATTTAACTTATGATAAATATCCACCAGATTTCATTGAAATTTTACGGAAAGCTGAATGCAGAAATTCAAAGATTGTGCTGTGAAATGTCCGTTTGTGGCTCATTAGATCGTGCAATGTGTGTACGTGTGTGTGTGTGGATGATAGCGCGCCCTACTGGCCGCCCTTGTGCCTCCTAATCTCGCACACGTCCTGCACGCGTGCTTTGATTTTCCAATAAAACAAATCTCTGATCCGCCCCACCCACCCGCTGCCGACGCTGCGCTGCCCTTGAAGCAATTAAAGCAGGCGACGAGGCGGCCAGATTACTTCGATTAAGCGCTTCAAGTATCACAGGGAGTGGCGGCGGTAAAGTGCAGGCCAGGCCGCAGGCCAGGCGGTGTCGTCAGTCTCGCGATAAAGGCAGATATCAGTCGTACTACTACTATACTATTTGTTTTAGTTTCTTTATTTCTGTTAGCTATTTAACGTAACTAAAAGAACAAGAGTTATTATAAATTCCATATCACAGCTCTCAGTTTATGGGTAAGCGCATAGACATATTATACAAAACATTTTACAATATCACAGAAAACTACACTCTTTTTTTCTGAGGAGGGGGAGAGGAGGGCTGTACTACCATTCGCAGTGTTGACCACACGCTGCTGTGACTTGAACGCGATGTTTGGCGGGCACGAAGCGGCGGGCGAGACGTGACCATAAAGACAGGTGCACGATAATAACTTAAGGACTTTCTGCTCAACCTTGTTACTTATTGCGGCTGGTCTGTGAGAAGACCGACAAAAATATCTAGAAACAAAAACCATACAATCATATCACTCAGAGTCTAATTCATTTCGCTCCCTCTCTCTGTTCACAAATCCTCCTCCTCCACAACAGTCTTGGTGGCATTAGGGAACACGTAGGTCAGCTCTAGCGAGTTCTTGGCCTTGATCTGAACACTTGCCGGCCGCGTGTCAGGTTTGGTATCAAACCGCCCCACCAGCATTTCCTGCACCTCGGCCAGGGACTTGCCCTTGGTCTCCGGCACCATGACGAAGGTAAAGATGGACACCAGGAGGTTGGTGATGGCGTAAAGACCGAAGGGGATATGGAAGCCGTATTTCTTCCCCACCAACATGAAGGACTTGTTGAGGCCGAATGACGTGAGCGACACGATGACCACAGCCACGGGAGCCACGATGGCCTTGGCGCGCTGGGGCAGCAGCTCTGACATGAGCACCTGGGGCACGGCGTTGACTCCGATGCCGGTCGCCGAGATGAAGAGCACCAGGCACACGAGGGGCAGCCACTGCACGCTGCTCACGTCCGCGCCCATGCCGTCGCGGGCCAAGAAGAAGGACGCTAATCCCAACATCGCCAAGCTGTTGGTGAACGCGCCCAGGCCGAGCTGCAGGCGGCGCCCCAGGCGCTCGATCAGCACCATGGACACCAACACCATGCCCACCTTGATGGCGATGAGCACGGCTGCGGACACGTCCGGGCGAACAGGCGTGCCGGCCTGCTCGAAGATCTGCTGCGTGAAGGCGAGCACTGTGGTGACGCCCACCAGCGCCAGGGCACCGCTCTCCACGAGCACGATGAGCGCCGCCCGCCTGGCGCTCCCGGACTGCAGCGTCTCCCTCCAGGACGCTGCGGCCCGCTGCTGCTGCTCCACGGCCGCGCTCACGGCGCGCGCCTCCCTGCACACGTCGGCGCCGGGGTCCACGGACGGGCGGCCGCGGAGCCGCGCCAGCACCGCCACCACCTCGTCGTGCCGGCCGCGCATCGCCAGGTAGAAGGGCGTCTCCTCCATCACGAAGACCATCAGCAGGCCGGCGAGGACGGCGATGGGCAGGGGAACCAGCGCCTGCGTCCAGTAGGAGACGGCGGGCCCCACGACGTACGCCACGAGCTGGCCCACGGGCAGCAGCAGCGTGACGGTGAGGATGAGCGCGCCCCGCATCTTGGGCGTGGCCACCTCCCCGACGTAGATGTAGGAGAACGACATGCACATGCCCTGGCCCGCGCCGGCCAGCGCTCGGGCCGCCATCAGGTAGCCGGGCGCCGTGGCGAAGTACGTGAGCAGGCACCACGCCGAGAAGGTGGTGGGGCCCACGAGCAGCGTCCAGCGTCGACCCGCGTGCGAGAACACGGCCGCGCCCACGATCACGCCCATGCCGCAGCCCAGGTCGAACAGCGACACGATCCACGTGATCTCGTCCAGGCTCGGGGCGAAAGGTCCGCGGCCCCCGCCCAGCTTGGCGAGAGCCGGCGAGGACCAGCCGATGGCCATGCCCTGCACCAGCCCGAGCGCGAGCACGCCCGCGCACGAGCGCACCTGGCCCAGCGCGCTACGCCACGGGGACTGCGCGTCCGTGGACATGACTCCGGCTCCTGGTGGTTTACTGCATCACCGCGGCTGAGTACATACACCTGGTAGCGCCGGCCCGGCTCCCCCCGCGTCCCACTCGCGTGCAAGACTGGCCCGCGCCGACGCCACCTGCCCCGCGGCGCCACCCCATCGAACCCAGCCGCACCTCGCCCCGCCTCACCCCGCGCCCGCGGTCCTTCCAGCACCATGATAAGGACGGGCGATCGACGTGCGACAATTGTCGTACCGTGGCAGCCACGGCCATGGGCACTTGTGAGAACGTGATCGACTACAGAGCTGGCCTACGAGTCCGTCGATGACGGGGTGTTTTTCAGTAGTTGTTACCGTTACCGGTTGCTACCGACTCAGTGACGTAGCTGGCCCGGCCTGCCACCGGTCCTACCTTCCTCCCTTTCCGATAAGTATGACACTCGAAGAAGTGAAAAGTAGCTCGCTACAACGGTCCTCTTATTATTCAGAAAAAAAA